AGAGAGAGAGAGAGAGAGAGAGAGAGAGAGATTCATTTTGTGAACAGGAATGATGATCCCAAACTCCCCAGAGCACGTTCGGTGCTGCATAACTTCTTTTTCGATGTCTTCTTCTTCTACCACTTCTTCTTCTTCTTCTTCTTCTTCTTCTTCTCCTTGCTATGTAGCCTTGTGAGGTATGGCTTCTTCTTCTTCATGTTTTCAGCCGCTGCAGGTATGCATCAGTCAGTGTTGGCAGGAGGACAGGTACGCTGCAACCACCCCCATGGAAAAAACAATTTGCACATCTATCTTTTCTCTGCGGATTCGGGGAGATCTCGACAAGCGCAGTCCAATCCCATCACCACAAAAAAAAATAAAAAAAAATCAACCCGGTTTTGGGCCCAACCAGATTTCCGGTTGGACCACCGGGGTTCCAACCGGCCCGGTTGGATCTGGTCCGGTCCAACCGGCCGGTGGCCAGCGCAGCCCTGACATAATGATGTTTTTTCAACTTTTTTCAACGTATTTCAACTTATTTACACTTTTTCAACTTTTTTGGACCTTTGGTGGTACCTTTCTGATGAATTGGCAATTTCCATGTCGTATTCTTAATGGTGCAAGGCCTCCCACGTTTGTATACTTGCGCAGAGGATGTGTGCACACCAGTTTGCCTTCGGGCACAATGCACCTTATACCTTGTATATATTCTTTCACTTGTGCTCATTCATATGCATTCAACAGTTGTTTACAGGAGAGGAGGGGGAGACAGACAGAGAAAAGGAAGTGACAGAGGAAAGAAAAGGGAAAGGAAGCAGGGAAGACCCCATTAGTTCCTGAATATTCACCAGCACAGCAGTCTGCCAGAGACTGACATGAAAGGCAGTGGCGACTCATGGCTCGAGTTATAGAGCAAGACAAATCAAGGAGGAAGTACTGCCTAAGAAGGAGCAGGAGGTGTTGCCTATGGTGGGTACCCCGCCCTACCGACCCACCAGTGTTTAACGGGGGAAACTGTTCTCACTGGTGGTTTGTTAATATGGTGTGCACTCTATGGAATGATGCAATTTTTGGTTAAAAAGGCCTTACGGGTTTTCTTATAAATAGCATTAAAAAAACGCTGAAATTTTGGGTCTCGACCAGGCTGGAGCGGTTCCGGTGTGGTCTGTGGAAGCACTGCATCCAATCCTCGCAGTTACAGTCACTGTGTATGAATTGCGCAGCACAGTCTGACATCACATACAACATGGTTCCCAATAGCCACGAACACTGTGGAGCCTTCTTTTTACGGCTACCTTGGCACGACTTCACTCCAGTCACTAGCCCTGCCTTCGGCATCCCGAAGTCTTTACCCTAACCTTCACTGGATGCCGAAGGCAGGGCTAGTGACTTAGGGTAACGACTTCGGGCACGACAGGGTAACGACTTCGGGCACGACTTCACTCCAGTCACTAGCCCTGCCTTAGTCAATTGAAGGTTAGAGTAACGACTTCGAGCATGGTCAGCTCCCATAGTGTGACGGGCGTTGTGTACAAGGCCCGGCCCGGGGGGTGGGGGAAGGAGAAGGGGGAGAGAGAGGAGGGAAGTGGAAGGGCAGCGAACGGAACAGAGGAGAGACAAACTTCAGAAGGTTCTCAATACTCACCTCTGGAGGAGACTACTCCAGAATGGCGCAAGAGGACAGTCGGTGTTTGGGTTGCGGGAGATTTTGCCTTGAGGAGCAGCCGAAAGTGGCCACCCCTACAGACCGGACAGTACCTTGTGGACTGTGGAAGCACCGCATCCAGTTCTCACAGTTGCAGTTACTGCATTGAATGGCAGGGTGTAAACAGATACTGCAGGCTGCGTAGCTCCTAGAGGCATGCCGACCGCAAAATTGGATAGGAATTGCTGTTCCAGCCCCCGTCTACAAGTTGGATATGACATGTCAGGGTGCCGTACCTGAGTGCAATGTTAGCGACTGCTCCTCAAGTGGCCACTCCTATAGACCGGACAGTACCGGTTCGGCTGTGGACTGTGGAAGCACCGCATCCGATTCTCGCAGTTGCAGTTGCTGCAACAAATGGCAGGGTGTAGACAGATACTGCAGGCTACATAGCTGCTACATGCTAGGGACACAGAGGCATGCCGACCGCAATTGGATAGGAATTGTCATTCCAGCTCATCTACAAATTGGATATGACATGTCAGGGTGCCGAACCTGAGTGCAATGTTGACTGTCATCATACGTATGAAAACAAAACCTCGCATGGGCTATGCCTTCATAATCCTCACGACACAGTATACGAATCACACGCTAGACGATCTCAGGTGGACAATCCCAGGGCGGCATTGAGCAAGTTTCTTGGGTTTCTGCAGTCATTATTCTCTCTATATGGGCAGGCGACGACAGGGACTGATGTGAAGGAAGGGTGTTTAGCTGTTGCAAGGTTTGGTCTGCAACAGCTCGCCCTAGTGGTGAAAACCTTTCAGTACAGCGCACTATGCCCAATGCTGCATGTGGGACATGGCAGGAGAGGATGCGCCCGGTGATGGCATCGGGGATAGTCCATGCAGTAGAGACACATACTTTCAATGACAGCTTCCTGACATGCCAGCGGGAAAGCAGGCTGATGTTTGCAGCTATTTAAGCACGGCATGTCAAGGCCACACATGCATATCGGGCAAGTAAGAAGGTTGCGGGGGGGGGGAGATGAATGCAAAACAACAGGTCACAGTTTTTGTGGCAGAGGCTGGCAGGGACGATCACTTCATATTGTTCGAACAAAACAGAGATTATGTTGTGTGCATGCTAACCGAACTGTAAATGTGTGGAGACAAAATGGCATGGCACAGCCACCAACATCTGGAGAGGCCCCTTCAGTATCCGGGGTAGAATCTGTCCGGCCTACACAGGGACACTGCCTGGCTATGTACTGTGGACGGGGGAGAGGTTTAGCCGGATTTTTCTCTGGGTGGTGTAGAGCTTGGGAGTGCACATCCACATACTGGCCCTGATTGACCAGCCAGACTGAGTGGGATTCTGCCACTCGGTGATAGATAAGTAAATATTTTCCACCATGAGCACCCTGCCACCATTGTTCCATAGGGTGCATAAATTATCTGCAAAGGTAACAGCAGTCAATGACCTGGATGATGCAGGATGTACGCATGAATATTCGGGTCCATGTTGGGCTCGTAATTCTGCGGAGTGGGCTGGAGTTGCAGCCATCTTCCCATAAATGTCATAGACAGGACTTCTATGCTCACGGCAGGCGCAGTACTGTCACCCTCGGGGCAGACAGCACAGTGCTCTTCCAGCGGACAATGTCTGCGAAATCAGGAACAGTATAGTGATAGCAATTGTAAGAAAGGAGACATGCATCAATGGCATAGCACACACAGTGGTCTCACTGTACCACTAGGAGATCATTTGATTCTGCAGATTGCACAGCAAGGGGAGAATCGGGAGATTCATTTTTAATTCTGCAGATTGCATGGTAGGGGGAGGCTCATTCCGGTCATGACAGTTTTCTGTCATGTTCCTCTGGCTGTATCTCCTCCATTGGCTCTAGCATTCGTTCCAGAAAGAGATCACCTCCAGTCGGGGGCTCCATCAAATGATGAGAAGGTGGATAATTGTCAGTTAAAGCGGGGGAGCGATTGGGGCTAGGAGGATGAGAAGTGGGTGGGTCAAATGCAAGAAGCAAAAGCTGATCAGCCACACATCTGCTCAGAGTGGCTGCTAGTCGTGCAAATGCTGCACAGGTGGCTGTGCCTCGTGTCTGGTGCACACGCAGGCCAGCAGCACCGTAAAAATCATTGCCACATTGTGGGCACCAGACTCGTAATGTCCTATTCCGGGGTAGTGTGTATTGGGAGCGACGACATCATTCCATACTGTTGCAAACATGGCGTTGGAGTAGATCTCTGACCGCCGGTGGGGGCGTGATGATCATGCTGTTCAAGTACAAACGAGGCCACCGACTAGGAGACGGCGGTGGAGATTGGGAACATCTCCGCTGAAGAGGCCTTTGTAACGACCAATCTGACCATGAAGGCCTCCGGCGATGAGCCTTCTGTGATGACTGATCTGCCGACTGATGTGACCATTATTGCGTTGTGATGATGAGGACGGTGGCAAAGAGGAGGCATGGGAGGTGGAGGAGGATGAGTGTGTGAGTGTGTGTTATCATGTTTGCTACACAATTCCCCAGAAAAAGCACAACTGTGTCAGACTCTTTCATCGGCTTTCAGCATCTCATCAGGAGGTTGAACTGGACAATCTGTGCAGGATGCATTTGAATAATGGATGAGGACTCGCCACGTCACCCAACGTTAGCCATACCCCTTAGGAAAAGGGTCGACTTTACTCACACCAACCCTGCAATCCTAGAAGACTGTTGGTGCAAACCCGGTCATTATCACTGCATCTGGACTGAAAAATGGCCC